AGGGAAGTGGTGAGGAAGGGAAGTGGTGAGGAAGGGGAGTGGTGACGAAGGGAAGTGGTGACGGAGGAAAGTGGTGACGAAGGGAAGTGATGATGAAGGGGAATGGTGCGGAAGGGAGGTGGGGAAAATGGGAAGTGGTGAGGAAGGGAAGTGGTGAGGAAGGGAAGTGGACGAAGGGAGGTGATGACGAAGGGAAGTGGTGACGAAGGGAAGTGGTGACGAAGGGAAGTGGTGAGGAAGGGAAGTGGACGAAGGGAGGTGATGACGAAGGGAAGTGGTGACGAAGGGAAGTGGTGACGATGGGAAGTGGTGACGAAGGGAAGTGGTGACGAAGGGAAGTGGTGACGATGGGAAGTGGTGACGATGGCAAGTGGTGACGAAGGGAAGTGGTGAGGAGGGGAAGCAATGACGATGGGAAGTGGTGAGGAAGGGAAGTGGTGAAGAAGGGAAGTGATGATGAAGGGGAGTGGTGAGGAAGGGAAGTGGTGAGGAAGGGAGGCGGTGATGAGTCGGGGGGGAAGCCGGAGCACGAAACCTTGTGTTTTTCCGTGTAAAGTGGCTGCAGCCGGCGATGAAAGGTACCTCGTCTGTGCGGCGGTTGCGGCTGGGGTCGTTCCGGGCGCGATTGGTTCCTTCTATGTGTTTTGCAACAAGTGGTTGTTCCTGCGGTGTAGTTCTATGCGTTTCCTGAAGCTGTGGTTGCAGATCGCAATGTAATGGCTGCATGAATGTTGCATGAGCTATGTTTTGGGGAGGAAGCCGGAGCACTAAACCTTTCGTTTTTCCGTGTCAAGTGGCTGCAGCCGGCGATGAAAGGTACCTCGTCTGTGCGGCGGTTGCGGCTGGGGTCGTTCCAGACGCGATTGGTTCCTTCTATGTGTTTTGCAACAAGTGGTTGTTCCTGTGTGCGTAGTTCTATGCGTTTCCTGAAGCTGTGGTTGCAGAGCGCAATGTAATGGCTGCATGAATGTTGCATGAGCTATGTTTTGAGGAGGAAGCCGGAGCACTAAACCTTGTGTTTTTCCGTGTCAAGTGGCTGCAGCCGGCGATGAAAGGTACCTCGTCTGTGCGGCGGTTGCGGCTGGGGTCGTTCCGGACGCGATTGGTTCCTTCTATGTGTTTTGCAACAAGTGGTTGTTCCTGCGGTGTAGTTCTATGCGTTTCCTGAAGCCGTGGTTGCGGATCGCAATGTAATGGCTGCATGAATGTTGCATGGGTTATGTTTTGGGGAGGAAGCCAGAGCACGAAACCTTTCTTGTTTTTCCGTGTAAAGTGGCTGCAGCCGGCGATGAAAGGTACCTCGTCTGTGCGGCGGTTGCGGCTGGTGTCGTTCCGGATGCGATTGGTTCCTTCTATGTGTTTTGCAACAAGTGGTTGTTCCTGTGTGCGTAGTTCTATGCGTTTCCTGAAGCTGTGGTTGGAGATCGCATTGTAATGGCTGCATGAATGTTGCATGGGCTTTGTTTTGGGGAGGAGGCCGGAGCACGAAACCTTGCGTTTTTCCGTGTAAAGTGGCTGCAGCCGGCGATGAAAGGTACCTCGTCTGTGCGGCGGTTGCGGCTGGGGTCGTTCCAGACGCGATTGGTTCCTTCTATGTGTTTTGCAACGAGTGGTTGTTTCACAAACTTCGGAATGGCGACCAGCTTGTGGGGAGATTAATTTGTAGGGATAGTTGGGCATCTCAAAAAGTACTTTTTGAGTAAAAAGTGAGTCGTGCTAACCTCATGTCACATCAACGTGTCTTACAACGATTCACCACGTGAAATTCACAATGACAAAAAAAAATGACAAAAAATATTACATAATGTCAAGTGCATGGAGATGAATATTCAAAACTATGAATACTTGTATCAATTTCTCAAAATTGATCAAAATTGTTTACCCAAAAACTCTGGTTGGGCTAATTCCTGCCTATTAGGTTATTTGAGTTTTTAAGGTTAAATTCTATCTTTTAGGTTATTTCATGTTCTGTCTTTTAGGTTGTTTGCCTGTTTGCCTAAATAGTTTATTTAGCCGAATAACCTAAAAACTGTCTTGTTTGAGACTTTGTTTTTTTCACCAAACTATATTTTCAACAGTTTAAACCAAAGACACGGTTTTTTTCCATATGTGTTTCCTTTGGATTTTTCGAATTACATGTCTTTTTGGCAAATAATTTTTCAAATGTTTCTGCATTGTTTTGTGAGTGATGTATGTCGTTTTCTTTTGATATATGCGGGTCTGAAGTGATTTTTTGTGCTAAAGTGAAGCCTTTTGTGCTAAAGTGAATCTGTAAATTTCAGCCGGATATGTTTAGGATGGGGCAAGCCAACACAGCATGGAAGCAACAAAACCACATGTCCAAAACAATATATGAGCAAATGGGTGTGTGTTTTCACATGAAGTGTCCTTTTTTGACCCCAAAATGGTTGCGTTGAAGGGAAAAAAAGGTCACCACATTTTCAGACATACCGAAACAAGAAAAAAAAACTTGTTTTGCAACAATGGCAGTGGATAGTTTTTGGGAGCGCCAAGCCAGCACAGGATGAAAAAAAAAACACGAAGAAAAATGAAACCAACAAATGTGAAAACAATTGTCCAAAACCTAACTTGTCAGCTGCATCGTTTATAAAACTCAGAGGGGTTCATGTGAATTCGCGGATGCTCATTGCTCATGGGTGTTCATGTGTGTTTTTCATTTTGTTTGGCTGCCACCCATTTAGCTTACTCAGTGGGTTTCCATGCCCAAAAAGAAAAATCAAAGTAATTTTTAGTGAGGTTCGCGCGCGCTTTTTGGGTATAAAATGGCTGTCCCCCGGCCCGCGAGCCCAACCAAAAAAATAAGTTTAGACACTTGCTGATTTGGTTGGTGGTTTCGTCTCCTGCGCTGCTATTTGGCTGCAAAACCTGTATATACCTTGGTGAACAGATGGAAATCCCCGAGTTCTTGGTCAGCTTGGACTCGATAGTTATTTGTTTGTTTTCAACTTAAATTTGGGGCTAGAGAACCCCAAATCATTGGCACACCCTGGTTTTGAAGGTTTTTTTGAAATCAACTTGAACGTTGGCCAGTAACAGATTCATAAATAAAAGCTGTCAAGACTGGAAGGTTTTTCACTTGTAAGAAAGTAGTGGCAAACACAAAATGTTTGAAGAATTGCTTGGTGAGGACTTGTTGAGTTGTATTCAAGTTGTTTTTGCAAAAACTAAACGGAGCAATCCAGCCAAGACTTGATCAATCACTAAGAGGGCCTCCATCCCTCAAACCTTTTTACATCAAACACCTGCCCAGAGATTTGCAATCACCTGGGGCTCTCCATTCTTGGCCTTTCCCCCAATTGAAAAACCCAACGAAACCACCAAACAATACAAGTGACTTGAGGTGATCAGCATTCATGTCTTTGAGGCAAGTAAACCCAGAATTTACCCAAAATAAAGAGAAGGGTTGTCAATCCCAGAGCCCACCCATTGCTACGTTTTTTTCCTCAAACCTATTTGCAAGAACATGCAATCCAACCCAGAGTTAATCAATCACCTGGGCCTTCCCATGCAAACCCATTTCCTGAAAATAAATCCAATTGTTTTGCAGTGACTTGGGGCGCTGCAGTCATCAAATTCATTCACATGTGCATGGGCAAATTTCTCCCAGAAAGTGTATGGTTGAAGATTTGTTGATGGAAAAAAAGTGATTGACCAAACATTCTTTTGACAAAAAACATTAAAAAAACAAATTTTTTAAAATAAAATCATGATTTTTGCTGAATAAACATCATTTGTTTGACTCAAAACCAATATTTTTTGAATAAAATCACGTTTTCTTGAATAAATCCAAAATGTGTGTGAATAAATCCAATATTTTTGAAGATTTTCAAGGAAATGGGGTGTAAGTTTGATGCAAACTTACATCAAACTTACACTTTTGAGGTGTAAGTTTACATCAAATTTACACTAAACTTACACTAAATTTACACATCAAAAGTGTAAGTTTACACCAAACTTACATATCAAAAGTGTAAGTTTACATCAAACGTACACATACAAGTGCAAACTTACACTTCTCAGTGTAAGTTTGATGTAAACTTACACTTTTGATATGCAAGTTTGGTGTAAACTTACACTCTTTATGTGTAAGTTTAGTGTAAGTTTGATGTAAATTTACACCCCAACAGTGTAAGTTTGATGTAAGTTTACATCAAACTTACACCTCATTTTCTTGAAAATCTTCAAAAAACCTTGGATTTATTCAAAAAAATATTGATTTTATTCAAAAATTCTTGGTTTTTAGTTAAAAACAATCATCTTTATTCAAAAAAAAATATAGATTTTATTAAAAAAAACTTGATTTAAAAAGAAAAAACATGTGTGTTTTCAAAAAAATGTTTGATCAGCCATTTTTTCCATCAAAAAAACTTCAACCAAACACTTTTTCGGATAGATTTGCCCATGCACATGTGAATGAATTTGATGACTGGAGGGCCCCAAGTCATTGCAAAACATTTGGATTTATTTTCAGGAAATGGATTGGCATGGGAAAACCTAAGTGATTGATTAACTCTGGGTTGGATTGCATGTTCTTGCAAATAGGTGTGAGGAAGAAAAAAAAGTAATGGATGGGCTCTGGGATTGACAACCGTTTTCTTTCTTATTGTAAGCATGAATTTGAAAACTGCAAAACCCAAAATTTAATGGCAAATTCCAGGTTTGGCTGTGTAGAAAATGTGAATGCTGAGCACCCCAAGTCATTGTTTGTTTTTGGTCGCATTTTTTTTGGCATAAATGTCAAGGATGGAGAGCCCCAGGTGATTGTTAATCTTTGTGTTGGTTTTCTGATATCGAGGGCTGGAGGCCCTTTAGTGATTGATCAAGTCTTGGCTGGATTGGCCGTTTAGTTTTTGCAAAAAAATTGAATACAACTGTGAAATTAAGGCATGTTCAACCTTGGAAATCCTTGGTGCAGCTCCATTCATCTTTTGGAATCCGACAGCCATTTTGGCTATCAGTCGCGGACCCTGTGGAAAAAGGGCATGGCGTGATTGTTTGGAGGGCGCTGGCAACATCTCACTGGCACCGGAGCCTAGGTTGTGGAGATCCAGGGCAAGCGCTGTGGTCAGTGCTTGAGACTCCGAAGAGGTCTTTGGCGTCCTCACGGACAAGGGCATCGGGAAGAGGGGTCTCTTTGGCTTGGGCCGCAGGACGAGGGTGCTGCGACTGGTAGAAGGGATGAGCTCCTACTATGGGGAAGCATGGCCCACCTATGGGGTAGAGCTGGATAGCTTTGAGGGTCCTTCTGAAGAGGGCAGAAGGAGTGATACTTCAGGGTGGTCACAGTGGAGCATAGGTGGTAGGAGGCAGAGAGCAGAGGCAAACACTGAATGGTTTGAAATGGCATCCAATGCCTCCGGGGAAGGGTCAGAATCGTCGTGGTGGAAGGGAGACTGTTGGTCCTGGGATTCTTGGGACGGGTCATCGTCCGGCAGTCGCGAGAATTGGGCGTATGTGACGCGTAGAGAACCTGGAGGTCATTGGGATCATTCGGATCCATGGCATCAGTGGCACAGTGGTGGTCGAGAACATGCACATGGCCAGGGAGAAGTTCGTCGTTCAGCACAAGATCAAGGCCATGATGCCGAACCTCTTGAACATTCAGGAGGGTCAGACGGTGGAGATCTGCCCAAGGGTGATCTGCCCAGCGGCAAGGTCACTAGTGTACAAGAGCGGGCAGACAAGGCAGAGGAGAAGAAACTCTCGGGCAAGGTTTCAAATAGCTATCCCCCAGTTTTTCGAGCTCGTCAGGGTGAGAATTACCGAGACTGGAAAAGGTCTGTCAAGTTTTGGTTGCATGGTGAAGGACAACAGCTTCCGACCAGTTTGGTAGGGCCACGGGTGATGGTGCAACTACGTGACCGAGCTGCACAACTAGTCAAACACTTGGAACCGGAAGACGTGGGCCAGAAGGAAGGGCTTCAGAGAATTTTTGAGACGTTGGAGAAGAGCCCGTTCATCAAGCAGAGTGAGAAACATAGGGTGGACTGGCATCGGAAGCGGTTGCTCACGCTTTCACGCGTGGCTGGTGAGAGCTTGGAGAGCTATATCACCCGAGCTGGACTTTACCGAGCCCAACTTGAAGGTCTAGATGCAGCCTTGAGCATGGGAGAAAGGTTTTTTGTGGGTCACTTGCTGGATCATGCGAGGTTGACTCGCAGGGACAAGGCCATGATCAAGACACATGCAGGTGATGAAGATGAAGTATTGATTACTGGAGCCATGATGGAGCTCTCCAGTGAGTTGGAAGGTGAACAGGGGTATCCCATCGGACAAGCAGAAACTCAGCTGAGTGGAGCACAAGGAGAAGAGCATTTGGTGCAGAGAGGAGTGTTGGGTTTGCGCTTCAATCGGCGCGACAAAGCCGCTTTGGTGGCGGAGTTGAACGAGGTGGACACGGAGACAAACGTCTCTTTGGAAGGCATTCCAGAAGACCCAGCAGGAGATGAGAGCTGTGATGAAGGTGATCCTCAAGTACCAAGTGATGTTCTACATGCAGAGCATGAGGCCCTGGCGTTGCAGTTCAGGGCTAAGCAGAAGATGGCTGAAGCACGTAAGATGAGGAACTACTATAGAAAATCCGAAGGGGAATCCAAGAAGAACTCCAAGGGTGGCAAGTGTTTCGTTTGTGACGAGCCTGGGCATTTTGCTCGGGACTGCCCAAAGGTGAAGGCAGCACTTGCAGCTTCTCCGAATCCAGTTTTGGTCACTGCCCACAAGCTGGAGTCTGACCATGAGACCGAATGGGGTCTGTTGGAATCTCTCTGCAAAGACAGCTTGGCGGCAGACTCATCCGCAAGAGCAGTATACATGGTGCAACGGGCAGTTTGTGGGAATGACCTTGGAGCTACTACCCCAAAACATGAAACTCCGGTAGTTCCTTTTGAAGCATGGTGGAATATGAAGGAGTTATCCAGAAAGGTGATTCTTGATTTAGGCTGCATGAGGAATGTGGTGGGTGTTCAGTGGGCCAACGATGTGGTTTCTGAGTGGCAACAACAACAGAGATGGTTCCGTGTTTTGGAAGAGGACGAAGTTTTCAGGTTTGGGGATGGCAACACATTAAGGAGCAAGTATCGTCTGCAACTTCAAGCGACTTTTGGTGGAAAGATGGTGTTGTTGGCTTTTAGCGTGGTTCCTGGTCCTTGTCCTCCACTTTTATCAAAGCAATCTCATACCCAATTGGGAGTTCAGCTGGACACAGAACATCACACCATGTCTTCTAGAAAGCTGCATGTGAAGAACTATGGACTCAGTGAAACTCGGGCGGGACACTATACCGTATCCATAGATGAGTTCCATTTGATCGAAGAGGCAGGTGAGGCAGAGACAGAGTTTTTGATGGAGCATCATCAAGAAGTTGGCATGGTACCTCATACAGTTCATGAATGTGAAGTGTTTGGCTCCGAGCAAACGCAATTCGAGACGGCCCACGTTGACTCGCATGTCTGTGCCAAATCCTCCGCTATGTCGGATGTGCGGCGAGGCGGGCCATCGGACTCGTCAGTGTCCGAACTTGTCGGATCCGGAGTCACTGGTGGAAGTGGACTCACAGACCGGCGACAGCTTCCAAGAGGTGGAGCATCTACAACGTCAGGAAGAACCACGTCAAGCTGCGAGAAAGGAGCCTCCAACCTCGATGGAAGTGGACAAACAACCAAAGGGTCGCGGTCGAGGTCCCGCAGCCCGTGCAGCAGCAATCAGGGGGGAATCTTCAACCAGATTGAGCCCTATGATACCAGAGCAGATGGAGAAGAACACGACCACCAGGCGATCGGGCAAAATCAACAGGGGATTGCCGCCATCCGAAGACGAAGGTCCAGGTCAACGCCTGGTCGAGACGGATGCCATCCAGGGCCTGACCATGCAGGAGCTACAGATGGTCTACAAGCACCGGGAGAAGGAGGAGGAGGAGAAGGCCAAGAAGAAGATGGCGACAGCAGCACTTACAGGGTGGGAGTCGCGTTACCCATCGTTGAGCAACGTGTGGAGCGACGACCTGGCATGCAACATACTGAAGTGCTTTCAATCCCGGATGAGAACCTATCTATGGAAGAAGGTGGTATGGCAGCTTCGAGTGAAGGAGGCGATCCGAGTGGAGTCCAAAGGCAAAGCAACATGGAAACGCAATGTGAGGTGGCTCAATCTCTTGCTGAGCATGGAGGTGGCATCGACCTGGGGGCATTTCGGAGCAATGAGGCAGAGGCTGAGATCTTCGGACTTCACAGGGAAGAGGAGTGGCACCGACTGCAACCACAGCGAGGGATGATGCAAAAGCTCAAGAAGGGCATGGGAGAAGTGTGTGCACAACAGGCCTTGGTGACTACGTTGGCTGGAGCCCGGCCGTACTATGTCGTCATGGAGATCTTTGCTGGATGTGCGAGATTGACGGCCAGGGGATCAGTGCGTGAGGGGTGGCGAGCAATGGAGCCGATTGACATCATCTACGGCTATGACCTGAAGAACCCGGTCACGCAAAAGCAAATCCTGGACAGAATTGGAGATCTCAAGCCGGACCTGGTCACGCTCAGTCCTCGATGTGGACCATGGAGCCAGATGCAACGCATCAACCCCAACGTGGACAAGGTGATGGAAGATCGACAGCAGGACATTCCGCTTTGGAGGTTCTGCCGCAAGGTATGGGATGAGCAAGACAAAAATGGACGATTAGTCCTGACGGAGAACCCATACCAGTCGGCGGCGTTGACCATGGACTTCATGATGGAGCGAGCCAATTTGCACAGAGCCAAGATTCCCCAGCGCGCCTTCGGTCTGAAGGACGCAGTGTCGGGAAAACCTCACCAGAAGTACACCGCCCTGGATGTCAATGATGCTGGCATGCGGGAAGCGCTGATGGAGGGGGCTACATGCAGGCACACCCCGGAGGAGCACCAACCAATAGAGGGCAACGTCTTCTACAATGGCAGATGGCAACGTCGATCGGCTTTGGCAGCAAAGTGGCCTGAAGAACTTTGTGACCACATCTTGCGTGCAGCCGAAAGCGCATGGGAGAAATGTGACCAGCATGCGCCCAAGAAGTTGACAGAAGGTCGTGAAGCTGGGGCAGCACACTACATCCTTCCGGTGGAGCCAACGCCTACCCCGGAGGGAGAATTGAGAAGACAGCTGGAAAAAACTGATTGGAGAGGAGGCCAGTACGACTATGTCTACTTTGATGGAGTTGCTCGCCAAGGTCCTTACAAGATGAGGCAAGCGTTGGCGCATTTGCATGTGGTGCTGGGGCATCCTTCCATGGAGCGATTGGTGCGGATGCTCATGATCAGCGGGTGCAGCAACCAGGTGGTGGAGATTGCCAAAGGGCTGAGATGCCAGATTTGTCAAGCAGTACGTCCTCCTGGAGCTGAACCGAAGGTCGCTGCTACGAGGCCGACACGCTTTGGGGAAAGGGTGTTGTCTGACTCCTTTTTCGTGTGGGACGTCAAGGGCGAGAGGTTCAATGTCACTCACATGATCGACGGCTTGACTGAGTACCACATGGGTTTGGTCAGCAAGCAGGTGGGGGCAGATGTCACAACGGAGCTGCTGCAGAACAGATGGTGTGCAGTGCTGGGCCCCCCCGAAGTCTTACAGACCGATGGAGGAAAGGAGTATGCAGATGTGGTTCAGCGAGTTTCCAGACTGCTGGATTTCCGGCATGAAGTGGTTCCACCAGGAGCCAAATGGCGTCAGGGTCAAGTAGAACGACATGGCGCCATTATCAAGCTGATGATGATGAGGGTGATCTCGACACAGCAAGCAGCCGGGTTGGAGGAGATCAAGTTGGTGGCTGCGAGCTGCTTCAATGCCAAGAACCGCTTGTGCAACAGAGCGGGCCTGTCACCGTTGCAAGCAGTTACGGGCAAGAACGCAACAGTTCCAGTTTCGGTGATGGAGCAGCTCTGCAGTGGTCAAGTGAGGTTTGCGATGAACGAAGAACTTGAACTACGAGATGCACTTCGTCGAGCAGAACGCATTCGGGCAGCGGCCATCGACAGCTACAACTGGATCGACTCCAACCAAGTCATCAGGGAGGGGCTGAACAGAAGATCCAGGCCACCGAAGTTGGAGGGGATCTTTGAGGGCACCACGGTGTACGTGCATGAGCCCCCACCCAATCGTCGAGGCCAACATCGGCGACTGCAAGACCATTCCAGCTGGGATGGTCCAGGCTTGGTGGTCTGCGTGGAACGTCAGCAGAACGTTCCCAATCGAGTGTGGGTTCGCATCAGAGGGAAGGTGCGAAGTTATCCCTTGGAAAAGCTACGACTGGCCACCCCAGATGAGATGCTGGGATCACAATTCATTGTGCAGATCTTGGAGGAGATGCAGGACGAGATCAAGAAGGGCAATTTGCGCCTTGAGGAAGATCGCAATCAGCCGGTGCGGGCATTGCCTGCGGTGTCCAACACACCGGCGAACATGGAGGAGGTTGACAATGAGATGTTGGATGACACGCAGGTGCAGGAGCGCATGCGCAGAGTACGCAGAATGGAGATCATGAACGACGTTCCGGATTCAATCAGACAAGGTGCCTTGTCCAGTTCAAGCCAGAGCAGCAGAGTCCTTGTGAGAAAGCTGGATGCGAGTGAGAGAAGGGACCTCTTGATGGAGGACGATGCGGAGATGTCTGAAGAACCCGTGGCACCAGCTGAGGAAGTGGAACCCAGTCGTTTGAGGTTTCCTGAGAAGAAAGCATTGTTTGAGAAAGGAAGGCGTGAAGGAGGCTTGCCTTCGACATTGACTGAAGCGCGTGTGAGAAGTGGAATGGGCCTTGCCAGCCGGCAGGTGAAGAACATCAGGAAGCTCATCAACAAGCAGCGAAGGGCACCAATGACACCTCAAGCCCGCCAACAGAGATCAGAAGAACAATCAGTGGGCAGTCTGGTGATGTTGGCAGAAGTGCTAGAGCCGACTCCTCATGAGGTCTTGTGGCAAGAGTCATGCAAGGAATTGGAGGAGCAGGAAGCATTCTGGAATTCGCCGTTGGTGAAGAAGAAGGACTTGCAGAAGATCAACACCAAGATCGAGGACAAGGTCTACGAGCACCGCTCTGATCTGGCAAGGGGGAAGATCGTCACCGGCAAAGCCAGATTGGAATATCAATGGTCGCAGCTCAATGAGGAATGGAAGAAGGCCTATGAACAGCCTTTGGTTAAGGCTGTGAAGATATACTTCGACCATGATGCGCTTGCCGGTGTGCCCAAGGACAAGGTGATCAACCCAAAGAGGATCCTTTCAACAAGGTTTGTGCTTACCAACAAAGGTGGGCCGGAGTTGCAGGATGCCATCTTGAAGGCCAGACTGATTCTTGGAGGGCACATGGACCCAGACATGGGCAAGTACGCAACGCTGGCACCCACGGCAGCGCTCCTGGCGCACAATCTCATCAACTGGATTGCGGTGCAGAAGCGGTGGGTGGTGAACTATGAGGACGTGTCCAGTGCCTTTCTGCAGGGCAAACCCTTGCCCAAAGAGCGAGAAGTTTACATCAGGTTGCCGAAAGGATATCCAGAGTGCGTGTGGAAGTTCATCTTGGAGCAGCTGGGGGCTGACTATCGAGAAGACTTGATGCAGTTGACGAAGGGCGGCTTTGGTCTTCCTGAATCCCCCAGATTGTGGTACCTATGCTACAGGGACACGCTCAAGGAATGTGACATGAAGGAGATGGACATCCTGCCGGGCGTGTTTGCAGCATATCATCCGGATGGTGAATTGCGAGCTTTGGCCTGCATTCATGTGGACGACACACGTTTTTGTGGAGATGAGACAAGTCAGGAGATCTGGGACAAGATCCACCAGAAGCTCAAGTTTGGCGAGCTGCGTCGTGCGACGCAAGGTTGGACGAAGTTCTGCGGACGGTGGGAGAGGCAGAACCCGGAGACCCTTGAGTTTGAGTACGCCATGGAGGAGTACGCCAAAGACATTCAGAAGGTGAAACTTCCCACCGGCAATGCCAAGACTGCGAGCACTGCCATTTCACCCGAGGAGAAGCTGCAGATGTCATCCATCTTGGGTCAGCTGAATTGGATGGCGAGGCAGGGTCGATATGACCTATCCTATGGGGTGTCGCATGTGCAACAGTTGGCAGCTCGAGAAGGTCGCATTGCACTGGAATGGCTGAACAAGGTGGTGTATCGTGCCAAGCAGCCAGCGATTCAAGTGGTGAAGAGGCTGAAGGACTGGCGAAACTACATCATTGTGTCGGCGAGCGACGCGGCCTATGGAGCACAGCCTGGGGGATACAGTCAGGGAGGCCTGGTGATTTGCATCGCCGATAAGGGCATCTTGGATGGTGAAGCAAACCTGGCTGTGGTGGAGGCGGCAAGCATGAAGATCCAGCGAGTGGTCAGATGCTCAATGAGCGCAGAGGTCTCCATGGCAGCAACGGCCTATGAACATGGAGATTTTGTACGAGCTGCACTGGCAGAAGTTCTCAACAGAGACTTCGATCTTCCGGAATGGAAGGTATGGCCAGTGCACGTGAGCACTACCTGGTCATTGACTCAAAGACTGGGTTCGATGTGCTGAACAACGAGACGCAAACCTCAGACAGAAAGATTCAGATTGACCTGGCGGTCCTGAAGCAGGCTTTGATGGAGGAGGACATCAACGCCTTCGTGCGCTGGGTGCCAGGTCATCATCTGATTGCTGACGCCATGACGAAATGGTACTCCAACAATGAGCTCGAACGAGCGTTAGCTGAAGGAGTCTGGTCTCTGAAAGACACATCAGAGGCACAGGATTTGCGCAAGGAAGCTGCCAAGAAAAGGCAGATTTACAGGAAAGCTGCACGCATGGATCAACGGGGGGATGTGTGAAATTAAGGCATGTTCAACCTTGGAAATCCTTGGTGCAGCTCCATTCATCTTTTGGAATCCGACAGCCATTTTGGCTATCAGTCGCGGACCCTGTGGAAAAAGGGCATGGCGTGATTGTTTGGAGGGCGCTGGCAACATTTCACTACAACCAATCCTCACCGGGACTTTTTTTTTTTTTGCCGACCATTGCTTTTTGACAAATGAAAGGCCATCCAGTCTTGACAGTTTGTTTTTACAAAACTACTGCTGCCCGAACTGATTTCAAAAATGGCCCTTTCAAACCCTTGGATTGCAGATAATTCAAAAAAGAAATCAGCCCAGGGCTGGGACCTCCATCTCAAGTTTTTTTTAGTTGAAAGAAAGTGGATGGCAGAAAAAACAAAACGACAAACAAACAAAAACACATGAAGACCCATACACACGCATGAACAACCATGAACATCCATGGACACCCATGAGCACTTGAGCGCGCATGAGCACCCATGAACTCACATGAATTCGTGTTTTTCCAAATGCAATGCAGCTGGCAAATTGTTTGTTGAATCGTATGTCTCACAGTTTTTGAGCTTCTTATTTTGGGTTGTTGGCTATCCATGTGAGTTTTTGATTTAATTGTTTTTTCTTGAACTGAACATTAATTTTATTTTTATGTTTTATATTTTTTTGGTTCTGTCCTGCGGTGGCCTCGCGTTCCAATAGCTGATTTTTGCAAAACATGACTTTTAATTTATATAAATATAGTTATTTATCATTTATCTATTTATTCATTTATATATTTGTTTATCTATTTATTCATTCAGTATATGTAGATATATATATATGTGTGTGTAGTGTATGTATATATGATTATATGTGTATATATATATATACGTTTGTGTATACATATGTATATATATATATGTGTAAATTTATGTTTATTTTTTAAATACATACATACTTTCTTTCTTTCGCCCGTCCGAGTCAGTGACTACGGTCCTTTCAGGACACGGGGAGGAAACGCGAAACTAAGAAACTAAACAAATCAAAGCCATAAGTTTACAATGCAAACGTTTCACGACAAAACTGGACGTACTCGTTTTCAAAAGAACGCCATAAGGCAGTATGTCGAGCAGGAATGGACCATGTTTTTTGTTGAAATTGCATTTCACCAAATTTCCGTAAGTTGTCATCCCATCGCACTTGTGGGCGTCCACGTTTTCGAAAAGGTTGGCTTGTAAAATATCCTTCGGCGTTGTCAGGAGGATTCCAAAAAGTTGCTGCTGCAGGCCATCGCTCCAGATGTCGACAAACACGCGCAGATAAACGAAATTGTTTCCTGAAAACTGCATCACTCCACAGGCTAATTGGATATAAACGAAGTGCTGCATCCAGTTTTTCATTCATTCGCTGCATTGTTGTTTTCCAATCCGTTGAATCCACCGCCACCCATCCTACAATTGTTCGAAGCATTTTCCGTTGGGTAACGTCCAATCGTTGCAATTGAGACTTAGAGAGTGGCAGCGTGGCCAAACCAAATAAAACTGTTGGAGACAAAACCGAATCGAAGAATTTGAGTCGCAATTTCAATGCGACGTGTTTGTTGGTTAACACATGCCTGTGTTTGTGAAACTTTGCCCATGTAACCTGCAGCCTGTGGCCTAATTCAACTTCAGCTCGATGACGAAGATCACCCACCAATGTTTTGCCCAAGTAATTGTGTTTGCTACGGCCACTTAATATTTCCACTGAATCACCAGCAAGTTCCACGTGCATAGGTCGACTTCCGGAAGCTGTTGTCAATATTTTCGTTTTTGATGCATTGAGTTGAAGACCCATGGCTCCGAGTTCTGTAATCAAAAGTTCAGTCATATCCTTCAAGTCTTGCAAAGATCGGGCGTATAGCATCAAATCATCTGCATACCTGATGTTAGTAATTTTTTCCCCGGCAATGACCAAACCATGGCTCGCCAACAGTTTGCGTTTCCATTTCCGCATTGCCGACTCCAGCACAGCGTTGAAAAGAATAGGGCTTATGACATCTCCTTGTCTCACACCTCTCTGAATGGAAAACCAGTGTCCCTGCTGCAATTTACCACTTTGATTCTGATAAAGTTTCCATAATAATGCGCAATATGGTTTTGGCACACCTTGTTCCAGCAAAGCTTCAAATAGAGGACCATATTCAACACGATCAAAGGCTTTAGTCAAATCCAAACTTGCAAACCACAGGGGCAAATTCCACTCAAGGCTCTTGCTGCACAATGACTCGAAAACAAGGAACGCGTCCTCAATACCAGTGCCAGGCCTAAACCCTGTTTGGTCAATGCTTTGATGGCTGTCCAATGTAATCCTCAACCTCTGACAAATCAGCTTGGAAAATATTTTGTAGGAAATTTTGAGAATAGCAATTGGCCTCCAACAACTTGGTCTTGATGTGTCCCCCATCTTCGGCAACATTGTAAAAAGTGTAGCCCGCCACGATTCATCGAAACAACCGCTCTTCAACATACCGTTAAATATGTTCAACAAACATGTGTGCAATTCGACGTTTCCATGTTTGAACATTTCAACCACGACTCCAGTAGCATCTGTTGCTTTGTTGCATGGCATTTGGCTCAACACATATTCCAACTCAGGAAGTTGGAAAGGCGGAATGTTGTGGAACCCGTGCGATGAAGCAAAAACATTGAGCATATCCAAAACGGACGCATTGTGGCCTACGTCAAATCGAAAAACATCACCTAAATAGTTTGCAAATTCTTCTGGTTGAGGTTCCTTTTGGATTTGCTTTTGGGACCGGATTGGATCACGGAACGTCGAATCCAAGCGGTTCAAGGCACAAAATTCATCCAAAATTTGTGTGACTCTTTTGTTGCGTTTTCCGCGCAGCTGTTTTCGAAGGTGTTTCCGGATTTCTTTTGACAAACGTGTTCTTTCTTGTCTGTTTTGTGTTTCCCTCCGTTCCCGTAAAAGCAACTGAAACTCATCCGCTGTCCAAGGTTCATTGTTCGCATTCCGTCGTCGTAAGTTTCTGGCAGCTCCAGACCTAGTAGAAATTTGTACAAGGGCGCGTTCCAGCTCAGACAAACTATTGCAAGGTTGGGTTTCGAAAAATTGTGTCAACTGCATGTGATATATGGAAGGATCACCATTTTCATCAAGCTGTGGTTGCCACCCTTTTGTTTTAAAATATGTTGTGCGCAAACTGCGTCCCACTTTGGCCACACCGAAGACAGCTGTAACCGTTCGATGATCTGACCCCAAATCTAAAAATGAGCTGGCATCTGCATAACGAAGATGTAATGATCGGCTGCAAAGAACAAAATCAATTCGTCGACGAACACCCATGGAACTCTCAAAAGTCCAGTGCTGTTCCCCGTCACCATCACTATTCGCAACTACCAGGTCAAATGAATGTGCTAGCTCGTCCAAAAGGAGACCACGAATTCCGACCCCAACCTGTGTATTGAAATCGCCTCCGACAATAATAGTGTGCCCCATTCGCCAAGCTTCTTCCAAGCACACCCGCAGTTGATCGTAGAAAAAATCTAAATCCACTTTTGGATACCCAGCATGGGGCGCGTATCCGACCACAATTCTGAATAGCCCAGTGCCGCACAACAAATCAATATACATCACACGGAGGGATAGTTGCTGAACCTTTTTGACATGATGAACGTGACGTTGATGGAGTAAAATTGCCACACCAGAAGAAAATGAAGGTTCATCTGTAGTATACAAAACATGACCACCATCCAATGAAAGCATGCCAGCTGCACAACGAGTTTCCGAAAATAGAACGACATCCCATTGTTCCATGGAAAGTTCTCCCAAAATTTCCGCCCATTTGTTTTCTATACGGGCATTTTTGGCGTGAACATGAAATGAATCATTTGTTGGTTGAAAAGTTTCAGCTTCGCGTTCGTGGTGCCTACATATTGTATTGTCATGCAAAGGATTGTCACCCGGCTTACCTGCAACAAACGTGGGAAAATGCATATGTGCAGACGGGCTCAGTGAAACCTGACTCGGACGGAGTTGTCCCTAATGGGATGGGGTGGCCCCCGTATCTTTGCTTTTGCCTGTGCCCTTGCCCTGCTTCTTCATCACAACCTTGGCTCTATCCATGATTTGCTGCAACTGCGCGCATGATTGAAATTCATCCCAAGCAGCCCATCCATTGGCCCATTCAACAAGAAACTCTCCATTTGAAGAAGTAACTTGCACAACAGTTTTGCCAGCAATTGTCATTTTGGTGTAGTGCTCGTCGCTTTCGATTTCACGTTTCACAAACCCCCACTCACCAAGTTGCCAACGAAGACCTAACAAAAACATTTTGCGCGCACGGGTCGGGATTGGGAGGTCCTGTGTTGCCCAAATGTGATGCTGATCATGTTTGATGTTTGCACTCCGCAATGTCGCTATGGCAATGTCCCGGTCATAGGAAGAGGAGAACTTGGCAAACAACACGCCGTTGAAGGACTGCGCTTTCATATAGGTTTCACTTGGGGTTGGCACCTTCAGCGTCTCCAATTTGTCACGTAACCATTTTGTAGCAACTTGAAGGGAGTCAAATGCCTGCAAGCCTCCAACCACCATAGTTTTGCACATTTCTCCTTCATTGGAACGGGGTTTTCCTTTCAGAATATCGATCTGGCATTGAAGGTCCGAAATTTTATCCTCAAAGTCCAACAGGGGAGTGGTCTCGGGGGGATCTTTCGCCATCAAATTTTCTAAGCGGGCAATACGCACATCTTGGTCACCCACTGCGTTCTCAATTTTTGCTACACGATCATCAAATGTTGCACTCATAGCTGTCAACTTGCTTTCCAATGGCTCAATTGCAGTTTGTATTTCTTGCCGTACAACAGCCGCGATTGCATCCAGAGAAGGTCCACTGCGATCAGAATTTGAATTTGATTTTGGAGTTCCAACCAGTTCACCATCATGTGTGTCATCTCCATCCATTTCATGTAAAGGAGATATCACCCTTCTCTTCTGCACTGGCCTCTCTGGAGTCA